TGGGTCCTGGTGCCGGCGTTACATTCAAGAGGTCTTGCAGAATTGTCAGTAATCCCATCAGCCAAAAGGCAAGATGCATGTTGGTCATGAGCAAAGCAGTAAGCAGTCTGCACTGGGCTCTCTTCTTCTTTTTTGTACTGCACACAAAAAATAATTCCAAAAAAAGAAAAAAAAAAAAAGAAAAAAAGAAGAATTCTTCTTGGCAAGCTGGCTTTAGACTTGGTAATCCTCAGGACTGGCCCTTGAGTGTGCAGTGGCACTCAGCACAGGGAGACAAGTCCTTAGCAATCGCCCATGGAGTTCTAGGCAATCCAGCATAGTGCACAGGGGGAAGCGAGGGGGGACTCAGCGAACAGGCTTCTTCTATTAGTTCTTTCTACAGTACTTTTGCCTGAGTGACTGAAGGCTGCTGTTGGAGGTTAGAACAGCCAGGGCTGGGGGGGAGTGGGGAACGCAGAGCCATGCCCAGACAGGGAGGGTACAATGTTCACTGCACAGAATGCATCTCTCATGACATCCAGCCATCCACAATCCTGCACAGCTGTTCAACTACACTGCATGTCACTTGGCTGGGGATGCTTCCTACAAATATATACATTGTATTCATGGCTTCAAAATAACTTTTTATTTCCTGCCAGAAAACTTTTAGGGACTCGGTGCATTTTTATGCGGTAAGGAGTGCTGCGTAAAATTTTAAATAGACTAGCATTGAGCCCTGGTTCACACTGATGCGGTGCGGAATTTGCGCACCGCATCAGAATTGCACCCCGTTCATGCAATGTTAAGTTAGCAACACCCCGAAAGCGATCCGCGCGGTGCAGTGTCGGATCGCATGTTAATACTTATGTGTTAGCGGACCCGAAAAAAGGGTCCTGCACCTTTTTGGTGCGGGTGCGGTGTGATTAGAGCCATACAAAATGTATGGCTCCAAACGTACCGCACACAAACGCATGTGATTTACACAGGAATGCGGTGCACATGTGATATGCGGTGCACATGTGATACGCCGCACCACATATATGTGAACGCAGGCTAAAAACCACATCTGTGCCATTAATTGCAAGTCTGTGCTGGAGATGCATTGTCAACCACGTGCGTTGAGGTGCGTCATTGTGAATTGCAGTAACAAATTTTACAGCAACGCCTAGGCATGAAGCCAGCCTCAAACCCAAGTGAAGAAAAATATAGGAGTTACCCTGTAAGGCTAAGTTCACATATATATGGGTCGAGAAAACGCGTGCATAAATGCGCACAATCTCAACCTGCAGGGAAAACATGCTGCTCTTTGGAAGATGTGCAGGGGTGCCATTATAGGCTGGTTCCCACTGGAACATGATGAGGGAAACCTGCGTTCTCTGCGCATTTCCCACACCGCCTTCATAACACAGTGGCTAAATGGTTAGCACTTCCACCTGGCCTTACTAGAGTTGTTGGTTTGAAACCCAACCACGGCACCACCTGCTTGGAGTTTGCATGTTCTCCCTGTGCCTGTGTGGATTTCCTCCGGGTATGCCGGTTTCCTCCCACACTCCAAAGCTTCTTTGGAGGCAGTCTTCTGGGTATTGGTCAGCACAGTGGCTAAATGGTTAGCACTCCTGCCTGGCAGTACTAGGGTTGTTGGTTCATATCCCAACCACTGCACCACCTGAAGTTTGCGTGTTTGCCCTGTGCCTGTGTGGGTTTCCTCCCACACTCCAAAGACATGCTGGTAAGTGAATTGGCTCCTGTCTAAATTGGCCCTAGTATGTGTATGTATGAATGTAAGTTAGGGACCTTAGATTGTACACCCCTTGAGGGTTAGGGACTGATGTGAATGTACAATATATATATAGGGCAGCACAGTGGCTGGCAGTACTAGGGTCATTGGTTCAAATCCCAACCACAGCACCACTTGCCTGGAGCTTGCATGTTCTCCCTGTGCCTGTGTGGATTTCCTCCAGGTACTCCAGTTTCCTCCCACACTCCAAAGACATGCTGATAGGTTAATTGGCTCCTGTCTAAATTGGCCCTTGTATGTATGAATGTAAGTTAGGGACCTTAGATTGTACACTCCTTGAGGGTTAGGGACTGATGTGAATGATATATATATATATATATATCAGCACAGTGGCTAAATGGTAAGCACTTCTGCCTGTCAGTACTAGGGTTGTTGGTTCAAATCCCAACCATGGCACCACCTGCCTGGAGTTTGAATATTCTCCCTGTGTCTGCATAGGTTTCCTCCAGGAACTCCAGTTTCCTCCCACACTCTAAAGATATGCTGGTAGGTGAATTGGCTCCTGTCTAAATTGCCCCTAGTATGTGTATGTATGAATGTGAGTTAGGGACCTTAGATTGTACACCCCTTGAGGGTTAGGGACTGATGTGAATGTACAATATATATGTAAAGCACTGTGTAAATTGACAGCACTATATAAATACCTGAAATAAATATATATGTAAAGTGCTGAATAAATGGACAGCACTATATAAGCACATTAAATAAAAAATAAATAAATACACAGTGTCTGCTATTTGCAGTGGATGTCAGTGTACAGTTAACACCCCAAATGCAGATAGCAAATGCAGTTAATTTGCCTACATCGGATCAAATGGTACTAAAGTACCATGCCATCCGGTTGCAGTGAGTTTTTAAAAGTAGTGCAGGAACTACTTATGGTGCAATGCAGTGCGATTTCAGCCCATTCAAACGAATGAGCTGAAAATGCACTGCACTCAGATCACACAGGAATGCAAATGCATTCTTCTGTGATTCCTGGTGTGAACCAGCCCTAATTCTTATGACACTCCCATGCATTGGAAAGAGCAGAGCTTTTTCAGGTGCGCAAAACCATGCCACTGCGTTTTAAAGAGGGGTCAGGGACTTTTTTTATCTGCGTTTCCTGCAGGTACAGCCTGCCCATTCAAATGAATGGGCTGCTGTGCCTGCACAAACGCTCCTGCATATCCCACAGAGATGTGAAGCCACACTAAGGCTTCATTCACGTGGGCATAGGCGTATTTTGTGCATGGAACGCGGGTTCTTGCGGGCAGATTTGGCAGAAGACCCCATGTAAAATAAGCGCTTAAATTACTCGCGCTTAGAACTGTACAGCTTTTAGACACATACAATTCTTCTATTAACTGTTTACAGGTATACATCCATTTGTTTACATACATATACACATGAACAAACATAAAATCTGCAGATATGTATGGCCTTGCCTTGGACGCAGCTGTATAGTATTTTTTTGTTTTCCAATGGTGCACATTCTTGTTTGCAAATGCAGTTGTGTGTATGGCTTCATTGATTCCTTTAGGCTCCATGTACACGGGACGTTTCGAAAAGACTTCTGACCAATGGAAACTGACTGCTGGAAAACGTAGGTTAAAAAAACGTCAGTTTAGCCACGTTTGCATACCATGTTTATGCGCGTTTGCGTTTAGAAGCGTTTTTTAAAGATAACATTAGCAGACCTTCCAAAATGCCCTGAAAAACAGTAAAAAATTAACTATTTCAGACATTTTGAGAGAAATAGAGAGAGCAGAAGCAGAGAGAGCAGTATGTGTTGAGCTGACCTGTCTTTTCTGGTTGTATTCACTATGGATCCCATCATGAGCATAATGCGGCACGTTCTACCATTTTTTCCTTCACACAAAACCTGGAACTGACTGCGCTGGTGTGCTAGATCCTTCTGAATACATGGAAAACGCTTTGCATGCATTTCTGATGATGAAGAAAGGCTCTGGACAGCATCTGGACATGGAACAGTTAAAAACGCTTCTAAATGCAAACGCTTATAAACGCAGTTAGCCGCGTTTACACGCATTTACAAGCGTTTCAAACGCTGATAAAATCTACTCCTGAACGCAAGTTTGGTGCGTTCAAAAAAACGACTGTAAACTCAACTGCCTGTAAATGACATCGTGTACATGGACACATAAGAAAACATTAGGGAGAGTTCAGGGGCTGCTGAAAAAAACGTAGATAAGCTTTTGAACGTGAGTTTATCAGCTGCAGTGTACATGAACCCTAAGTGCTGCATTTAGAGGAGTGCAAAACGATACCCTCTACACATCTGCAGACTTTTTCAGCAATTCTGCATATGTGCGTTGTACTGGAGGTGTGCTGCCGGCTATTGCACATATGTGTTGAGCTGTGTCACTGTGTACAGGGTAAAACACACAATTCACCACAGTGCCTAGGTGTGAAAACAGGCTTAGTACAAAGCTATGTGTTGTGCACTAAATGAGTAGAGTAGTACAAAATTATGTGCTGAGCACTAAAACTCACCACATGTTACAATCTGATTGTACAATCCCCTTTAGCCTGGGTTCACATATATGCGGTGCGGTACATCGCATGTGATTCGCACAGGAACCGCACCACATTCTCGTACAAATCACATGTGATTTGTGTGCGGTGCGATTGGAGCCATACATTTTGTATGGTTCTATTTGCACCACACCCGCACCAAAAAGGCGCAGGACCCTTTTTTGGGTCCGCACTAGAATCGGATCGCATGGGTATTCACACCTATGCGATCGGATTCTGCACATCGCACCACATTTTGCGGACCGCTTTCAGGGTGTTGTTAACTTAACATACACACCCGCAGCGGTTCGCATGAACGGGGTGCGATTCTGATGCAGTGAGGAATTCGCACTGAAAACGCTGCAAATTCCGCACCGCATCAGTGTGAACCAGGATTAGAATGAACAACAACTATATTGTGCAAGGGCCTGCCTATTTGGAAACAAATTGGATAGTTTAAATGAGTTCTCATATTACATAGGTTTGGTAAATCTAAAGTTGATTGTACAGATGTTTTAACGTGTATGGTGGCCATTGGGGCCCCACTCCAAAAAAAACCCAAAACATAATATCCTTGTAGTGGGGCCCCTCTGCAATGCAATAGTTAAATGCTTGTTAAATCTAGGGGTAGAGGAATAAGAGTCAACATACGTGTTACAATCTGCCCATGCAATCTTTGTACAAGCAATTTTATATTTATCAAAATGATGTGATATGAAGACCTACCAGGGGCGGACTGACCATTTGGAAACTCGGGCACTGCCCGAGGGTCTGGGGTCAGTAGGGGGCCCCATGAGATGCCCCTGGTACCTCTTTCAGGTACTTATATAGTGCCGTCAATTTACGCAGCGCTTTACAAATATATTGTACATTCACATCAGTCCCTGACCCTCAAGGGGCGTACAATCTAAGGGCCCTAACTTACATTCATACATACATATACTAGGGCCAATTTAGACAGGAGCCACTTCACCTAGTTATAAATAATATGTCATTTTTTTATTATATTTATTTTCTGTAATCTCCTGTGTCAACAGGATTGGGGGTTGGTGTTTGGTGGCGGTTGGTACTGTAAGCCAATTAGAGTCCCAAATGCATAGTGCTGTCAGTCTAACGAAGAGCGCTTGACCAAGCTGTATTGCTTTACCTTCTGTGTTGAATGATGGAGCCAGGTACCTTGTGGTATAGATGGGCTGAGGTATTGTATTCTCAGGACTAGCTAAACAGAATTACAAATCTTTATATCTATCTTACCATTATATCCTGTGGGGTCTGGTAATACCTGTGCATTTCTCTTCCATGTGTCTTGGAAAAAAGTACAGGTGCTCGTTTTGGTTCAACAATGTGCATTATTATCCCCCACCCCTCCAAAACCTAAATGGGAATGTATAATAAAAATGGCTTCCAATTGTACAAAAAAGCATAACAAAAAATGCATTTTAAAAAATGAATTTATTAACCCCCCCCCCCCCCCCCAAAACCTAAACGGGAATGTATAATAAAAATGGCTTCCAATTGTACAAAAAGGCATTACAAAATAAAAATAAAAACTCATTTACAAAAAATGTATTATTACCCCCCCCTCCCCCCCAAAACCTAAATGGGAATGTATAATAAAATTGGCTTCCAATTGTACAAAAATGCATTAAAAAATAAAAATAAAAAAACGCATTTAAAAAAATGCATTATTACCCCCCCCCCCCCCCCCCAAAAAAAAACCTAAATGGGAATGTATAATAAAAATGGCTTCCAATTGTACAAAAATGCATTAAAAAATAAAAATAAAAGCGCATTTAAAAAAATGCATTATTATCCCCCCCCCCAAAAAACCTAAATGGGAATGTATAATAAAAATGGCTTCCAATTGTACAAAAATGCATTAAAAAATAAAAATAAAAGCGCATTTAAAAAAATGCATTATTACCCCCCCCCTCCAAAACCTAAATGGGAATGTATAATAAAAAAAGTCTTCCAATTGTACAAAACTGCATGAAAATAAAATACCGCAAAATTCTGAACCTAGCCTAATTGATGTTTGTATTTTTATGATATGCTTTTTTTGCTAAGATTAACCAACAAAATGCTGTAGGTACGTAAATATTTGGGGTTTTTTTGTGTGCACTCATGTTTGTTTGTTGTGTTTTTTCTATAAAAGATACTAAAAAGAAAACTAAAGCACTAAAAAGCGTTCTTTTCCATCTCAAACGTGGGGAGGTATGGAGTGATGAGACATCTATCCGAGTGTAAATGCATTGCCGCACTTCTGGAATCTGCTGTGATTTTCATGCCAATGTGGCTGGAGAAAGCCAATGTGAAAGACTCATTCCTTCTTCTCCATATCAGTAGCAGGATAGAATTCTCATTGTACAGAGATGTTAAGTCAAGTCAGAAAATCTCTGTATGTGATCAGGAGCAATTTGGCAGTCAGGAGTATCCCCCCGAGAAGTACAATATATCTTGAGTCCTCGCACTGACATCCGGACCGAACATTATCTACCCATTATAGCAACCTTTCTTAACCAGGGTGCCTTGAGGTTTCCTCAGGGGTGTCTTGGCAAAATGTCTACAAAGTTCCCAAAACTTGTATACAAGCCAGCGGGTGGATGAGGCCTGCCTTTTAGTTACACAAAGCCACAGGTTTTCATTGTCCACCATTATAACCTTCTAGCCGCCGGCGTCCTGACAACCAATGACATCACCAGTTGATAAGGAGGATGTCAGCTGCCAGCACAGCATCCTAGTTTGACCCTCTCCTGCCCCTCTCCATCAGTGCTGGGGTCACATTAGCTCAGTGATGGAAACAAACTGAGGGAGAAGAGAAACATTGGCATACTAGTCAGTACCAGTGTGCAAAAGTGTATTTGCTTTGGAAGAATAAATCGCCTCTAATGTTGGGTGTCCTACATGTGCAAATGTTGGTGCATTATATAAAACTATTAGAATAGTTTTTCACATTTTGGAATGGGGTGCCCTTTTAAAATTATAGACAGTCTAGAGGCACCCCATTTTAGAATGGGATGCTTCATGATTTCATGCTTAATTTTAAAGGGTGCCTCGGGAATGTCCGTAATTTTAAAGGGTGCCTTGAATGAAAAAAGTTTGAGAAACACTGCATTATAGCACAAATTTTCTGCGTGGTGTAGATTTGAACATAAAGTCAACAGTGATCACTAACCAGTAGATTGTAGATTGTAAGCTCCATGAGCAGGGCCTATTCCTTCTGTATTGAAATTGTAATTGTACTGTTCCCCTTCATGTTGTAAAGTGCTGTGTTGGCACTTTATAAATCCTGTATAATAATAATAATCTCTGCAATTGATGATTTCAGGAGAGAGGTCCTGTTGGAACACTTGCTTTCCTATATTTTTGGGCACAATAGGTGTGTTAGGAGCAGGGGCGGACTGACCATTTGGAAACTCGGCACTGCCCGAGGGCCTGGGGTCAGTAGGGGGCCCCATCAGATGCCCCTGGTACTTTTTTCATAGGCTTTTTTGAGTTTGGGCAAGGACACAGGGGCCCCATGATCCCCTATTGCCCGGGGGCCCCATGAGTTGTCAGTCCACCCCTGGTTGGGAGAGAGCTGGAAGCAAAACAGAAAGGATAAGACTTTAGATCTGTATTTTAGAGGCAGTTCTTTATCAACTGTGGTGTCCCTTGGGGTCCCTAGAGTAGACTAATGCTTAGTACACTTGATATATCGGATGAAAAACTGCATTTGGAGCAATTGTCCTATAATCTATTTGTAAGTAGATAGCTTTGGAGAGCTGTTCATGACAGTTCATGTGAAAATGTCTAAAGGGACAAGCACGAAAAATTTTCTCGTAAGATTACAGAACAAATGATTTTCGCGTAATTAGTATAGTATTTATATAAAAACAATCGAGTGACCAAAACAGCGCATGCTCGGAAATGAAAAAATGCATTATTTATTTATTTCAGGTACTTATATATATACCAATTTATGCAGCACTGTACATATATATTGTACATTCACATCTGTCCCTAACCCTCAAGGGGCGTACAATCTAAGGTCCCTAACTCACATTCATACTACGGCCAATTTAGACAGAATCCAATTAACCTACCATGTCTTTTGAGTGTGGGAGGAAACCCACAAAGGAACAGGGAGAACATATAAACTCCAGGCAGGTGGTGCCATGGTTGGGATTTGAATCAACGACACTTGTACTGTCAGGTGGAAGTGCTATCCATTTAGCCACTGTGCTGCCCATACAACACAATCCATTACATCACGTCCAAAGTTGTATTCTATCTTATGAGAATTTTCATAACTTTAGTAACCTATTTGTTTTTGATAAGAGACTAGCATGCAAAAAAAAAAACAGACAGACAATCATTCACCCAATATCCTCATCGTGTGTACTGGGCCTAAGACTTGGTTAACATCCACAGGCATGAGCAAGCGTGGGGACGTTCCCACACATCACGTGGTTGGCAGCCTGTTTGTTTCAACGGCCTGACCTATGTGTGAGAAACGCAGAAAAGATTCCCCTGACTTGAGCTACACTGCACTGTATGGTCGCAGGTAAATGTTTCTGTGCATCCCAGGAAATTGCGATTTAGGACACATTTCCTACATGCAGTACTGTGAACCTAGCCTAAGAAGTGTATTGAGAATGAAATCCCAGTAAATGTTTATTCCACAAGGCTGGAGCTCACAAGAAAACTCCAACACATTCCACAGCCAATACCCCCCTTCATCAGGAAGAATTCTGCTTTTTTAGGTCACAGATCAGAACAAAGTCAAAGTGTGCTTATTGCCCTATGTCCTTCCCTGATTATTGATAAAAGATATAGAGTAGGGGATGGTTAAGGGCCAGTGCTGGATTAGACTGGGTGAAGGCCCCTAAGCAGTCGAAACCTTGGGGCCCTCATTGCAGGTTTCTGGAAGTTTCTCTTGCGTGTGCTCTAGTGGGATAACATTGAACTAAGCAGTGTGCATATCGGCTGCTAGATGAAGATGATCATCATGACTGTGCATTACACGTATATGTAGTTTGCACCAAAAAAAAATTTTTTTTATACAAACTGAAAACTGAAAGAAGATGGAATTTTAAGAGACAAACTACAATGTGAACCTGATGTCTATGGTTTATGGACTTTAACCTCCCTGGCGGTATTCCCGAGTGTAGCTCGGGGTAAAATGTCTGTACCAAAAGCAGTAACCCCAAACTACACTCGGGCTTACCATGCGGCGCTGCATAGGGAGTCCCGGCAGCACTTACCTTGTCCTTCGCTCCCGCGATGTGTCCCCTGCAGCGTCCCCCCGGCCATCTCCTCCGGCCGATGCCGGCATCCGGCTTCTGTGTTCCGGTCCCTGTGATGGCAGGACGTACGGGTGCCGCCGGTGGCGGGAAATTTGAAAATTTTAAAAAATGTCATTTTTTCCAAACAAATTTTACATAGTAAAACATTGCTGTTTCAACCCATTTCACATACATTTTGTCCCGAGTGCTTTGTCCTGTGCCCTGCCTGCATTTTGTCTGTTCTTTCTGCCTGGAAACTGAGAAAAGTCCATGGAGTCCAAAAAGTGTCCCTTTAGGTCAAAAGCGGGTTTAGATCAGCTAGAGAACAGCGATAGTAAATCAGAACTACTTGCAGAATTGAGTGATAATGATTCGTGGGGGAAATTCGTCATCAGACACTGAAAGCGATTTTGCGACTTTGCTCAGCGATGTGCGAACTTTGCGCTCTATTTCAA